TAATTCAGTTTGCACGGAAGTAAAACAAATCGCAATAACAATCGCTAAGCAACTGAGCTGAGATGTTCTCTCTCTGACTTTTCATAGCTTTTTATCGGTCACGAGAAATTTCTGGTAATATCTTTGCTTCTCGAGATTTCTGGAAAGCAAAAGAGTAGAATTACGGTTACAGCTAAGATAGTAATTAATTATATTTATTCACTTTAAATATAAATTACCAAGAGATATCGATTTATTCAATGTTAAATCCACGCGCTCCTGTATTAATTTTCCGGCACAGCTTTCTCTTAAAACTCGTCTCGTGTTCCATGGCACGGAGAAATAAAACAATTTTAATTTTAATTCTAATAACAAAAGCAAACTAAATACAAAATTCCTAACAGTAGTGCTGTAGAAAAATTAGAATTATTTGACTACTAGAATCTACTAGAACTGTGAAGTGATTATTTGCTAAGTTCTGTTGTGTAAGTAACAGCTCCGAAGAAGGGTTAGTTTTAACTCAATTATATTTCACAGACGGCTCCTCTTGGGCGTACAAAATGCCAGCCCTTATGGCTTGAACTTAAAAATAGAAAACTTAAACTAAACTAATGCTAAGTAAAATATTCAGCCTAAATTGCACAGAGTTGTTTAAACGCGTAGTTGTTTCTTAGCTAAAATCACTGTCGTAGACTAATAGACACATGCTAAGCACGGCCGTAATATAGCAAGCTTTAACTCGTAACAACAATGTGACCGAAAAGAAGAATACGTTCTAACTGAAACACCTCAGATTAAATAGTAGTTTTTACCCTATTTTGCATAAAGCGTAAAACTGAAAACTTATTCTGGATTGAAAACATAGGTAGGAAAATAAGGGAGTAAATGAAAGTTTTTGCAACTAAAAACTGTGTTAGGGAAAAAAAGAAGGTAAGTCTCTACAGCGTATATACACTGGGGCAAGGTATCACAGACATCCTTTCCTCCATCATTAAACTTTCAGCACAGTCTATATTCTTCTAGACATTGACTAAACGATGTCTTGATATTGCTGCTGAGGAATATTATTGTTCCTGAGGAATATTAACTTATACTGACATAATGGCAGTTCTAATTTCGTTCAAACTGGATGGTGGCGTTTCGAAGTTATCTTCTCACGTTGTTCTGCAAATGGTGAATATGATTGAAGTCAAAAGATTGAGCTGCTTATTTAAGCAATTCGAACTTTGAATCAGGCTCTTCAAAACAATTGGAGATTAATCGTGCACTGTGACAAGGTGCATTGTCCTCCTGAAAGTGACCATCTTCATCGGGGAACATCGCAACAAGAGTATTAAATGGACGCAGTCCGACCCAAATTACAAGTCTAAGACTTCCCGCATGGTCAGCATGAAAGAATATGTATAATTAGTAATGGTGTTGGGATAAATTGTGATGCTATTTCTGGGCGAAATATTTATGAGACAATAATTACGCGGATACCAGTTTGAGGCAAGAGGAGAACATACATTTGTTCTGTTTACACCTTATTCTGATCCTGTCATTTGTAGGATGGAGCCGGAAATGAAAGTAATGGGATCAAGAACCTTTCCCCGATCGTCTGCAGACTTTCTCTTGTTTTTAAAATTTCTCACGAAATTTTTTTAGTTCATCTTAATATTTCGTTATTTTCATCCAATGATAGTGTTTCTGGCATCTGAAATAGTTTGATTTTTTTTCTATTTTGATTAACTGTTTGTGCTGAAAATAGTATGATCCTATTCTGCAATGGGCATGAAACTGAGCTTCAGGCCACCTGGTGCACATAAGTCGGTGAGCATGAAACAAGATCAAAGCAGTTCGTTTAGTTTCTGGGATCGTTAAACAGTATTAGTTTTATGTGCTTGTTGAAGTTGTTTAAAAATTTGTGATATCTCATCTTGGGCGTATTTGCGGAAAAAGTAAAATATCCATGACTTTTTTAAAAAGTGTACAAACGACTTTTTTGTTCTATTTCATCAAGAAAATATAATGCATTTGCCAAGAATATAGATTGTTATTGCGATTTTTCGTTTTCGTACAGTAAAAGGGTATGATCTACTAAAACATATTATATTGAGAAAAAAGGCAATTAATTTTTTAAAAGGAAATAAAGAACGAAAAAGTTAATAATGCAGAGTACGTATTTCCTTCCTTTTTACTGGAGCACAATCTGCCGCTGAATGCCTTCGATTATCTGCGGATTTACTTAGAGAAATATTTCTGATAGCGAAGTTGCTAAGAAATCCTCATATACAAGGACAGAAACGTCTTCAGTTTTAAAGAATTGTTTGGAAAAATAAATCTTCAGTTGTTGACTGCATTAAAACAGTTGCTTTCTGTGGATAGAAGTAATAACACATGATAAACTATATCCAATTGTCATCACTTTTTTTAATCCTGTGGCTTTAGAAACTGAGTGCAATACTTTGTGTGATTATACCGGAAGGAGATTCAACAGGCGCTCGTACAGCACAATGAATTATTAGAACTTTAAAAAAAATATTAACTTCTTGGATAACTGTTTAGCTTTTGATACAATGTCATGGTAAGCTTGAAGACTTGCGTTGTAAATATCTTGAAAGAAGAAAACTCAGACTCAGAGATGTGTATTTGTCATCTTTAAATTTATCAGCTGAAAAAGCTTCTTTACACATAAAAGTAGGTGAATAACACTTCTTTACCCATAATTTAGAAGATTCTTTACACATAAAAGAAGATGAATACATATAAAAGTAGATTTGTTGTCGATGTTTATTACCATTTTAAAAAAGACCTCAGCTAGGAATGAAATAAGAAACATTTTAGAACACTTATGCACCCTGGTTACTTAAGGAAGCAGGCATACTTCAGAGAAATATTTATTTAGAACTCTCGAACAATGCACCCTCCACTTCTTACATTATTTTAAAAAGAATATGTAAATATTTCAAGTTTTAAGGTAAAAGGCGGTATCAAAAATTATAAAATGCCTTTAAATAAATTAAGATGCGCTGCTAGTTCCACTGTTAAAACTAAGTGTGAGGAATCTAAAGTAATTTCTTGAATAGGGAACAACTAAACTGGCAATTCTCAAAAGAACGTAACAAAAAATGAGCGTAAAATTGATATAGGAGTCTCTTAAAATAATTTAAAAAAATGTTCGACTAGAGAAATATTTTCCAATCACTTTTATTTCGTGTAGCATAAATTATTTATGTTCTTATCTTCGGACCTTAAAAGTTTTGCTTTTTTGTTATGCTTCGCGTTTTTTCATTTTGTCTCATTCCATATTCTTAGTACAGTTCTGCAGTATAGAATTCCATTAATTCACGTTTTGCATTCAACGATTAGTGATTTATTTAAAGATATTTTATAGAGTTTGTAAAATCATACTTTTATTTATTTTCTAATTTTGTATGTCATACGGAATATAGTAAAATATTAAGTCAAAGCAAAGGTAACGATTTTTAATAGAGGTTGCAGATAACAAAGGAGTGAAAGAGCTTCCAGACGAAAGAAACTTTATTTGCATGTTAATAATTATTTCTGTGATGTATGATTAAAGACTGTAAATTTCCATGTAAGAGCGAAGTAGTTTTACATGCTAAAGTTGCAGAGGTTTTTCTAAGTAAGAAATGCATCTTAACTAGATATAAGATACTTTTATATAGATTTTTCAGTTTTACTTCATTTTGTTTTCGAAGACGAAGATATTGATTTTGCAACAGTTAAACTGCAGTGACAGTTTTGAAACTGTCAGAAAACTTGGATAATGTTTATAACCAACAAGAGTTCATATGCAGTGCAGTGTAATCGGAAAAATTGAAAAGTACTAATGAAATTTTACAATAGAGTGAACTCTCTAAAATAATGATGGGCATTTCGACAAATCTACATACTAATGCACAGTATGAGAAAATTTTCCAGTATGAATGATGATACGTTGGAATCTTTTATCAGCAAAACCATACCTTCGTGGCAATGCTGTGAGGCTTCTGTCTTAACGAAAGCAAAATAAATTGTTAACAATAGTACGAAAAGGGACTGAACTCTTACTTTTCTATAAAATATTCAAAATAATAAAATTATATCTTTTAATGTATAAGTACTCTGGAACTAATTGCATTTAAAACTTATTAAATGCACTTCCGGGTATTAATTAAATAATATTTTTAGTTTGCTATTTTTAGAAAATTTTTTTTTAATGTTTAGAACCTTTAAAAGGTTTTTGCCACTGAAAACTTCTCTTGATTTCTAAGAAATGTTTTCTGATTATTTTTGAGTTTGTCAGGTTGTCACGTCTACATAGGCATACTTGATTACAAACTTTCCGTCGCAAAGTTTGTAATGTTCTGCTTTCAGATATGCTTGCAGCTCAATTTAGCTGCAACTCATGTATTTTTGCCGTTCTGTTACTGAATATGATTCATACCAGTTGCTATGCACCTCTCCTTCATAAGCATTTTCCAACCAGAATTGTACTCACTGCATGAAGCTATTTTGCTACACTGCCGTTCTCTAAACACCCAATTACTACAGAAAAAGGCTTAGACCATCAGTTATTTCACAAATGTAGAAAATGAGTTTTCTTGGATCCATAACTCCTTCAATGTCAGTCTTCCAGTTTATCTTTTTTCACACTAACCGTGGTGATAACTTTTTCTTCTCAAGACAAGCGTATTTTACATGCTGAGTTACAAGTCTGTTTGTGGTTATAATTCACGGGCAGACTGAGTCATGTTGAATCATGCTTGTCTCTAATATTTTCGGTACTTAATGTATTTCATTTCCAATATATTTGATCAAATGCATTGGAAATGAAAAGTAAATAATCACAGTATATTTATACGTTTTAAATTTTTAGCAATTATGTTCAATCTTTGCTTGAATGCATCTTTTATCTAAATTTGTATACAGCGATTTTTTCTGTATTTTAATAATACATATCTGTGCAGATATCGTTTACATGCTTATATTTTATACCAATTCAGATTCATGATTTTTTTGTAATTTTCACTTAGATATATTGCACATGGGGAGTGGCATTACTCTGGAGAATTATGGGAGGCGACAACACTATAGGTAAAAAAGCATCAAATAATTATTTTTGTTAGTAATCGGTAAAATTCAACTTTATTTAATGATTTTTTCTTTCTTAGTTAAAACTAAAAGTTTGATATTATATACTTAGGGTGATTAGACAAATGCGCTTGAATAGAATAATTTTCTCTGATGAAGGAAGTTTATAGTTATTTTGCATATCTCTTTTGTAATATGAAAAGCACGAAACTGTGCACGAGAAAAAGACTGATTTAGAACAATCACTTTATATGTAATAAAGCTGCAACTACACAGATTTAATTCACACTAATTTCGCAAAACTTGCTAGTGTCTTTCTGATAAATTGTATTTTAAGAGAGGGGGGGGGAAATATCAAATTTTAAAAACTTCTTTTGGTTAAATTAACATTTTTTTTTGCATTAATTTTTGTTTCGCCACTTCTAAATCTTTTAAGCACTATTTTTTTACTTGTATTTTGTGCACGTTCTTTCCATATTTACACGGTCTGGCGTTAAGTAGTCTTACGGCAGAAAGACCGCTAGATACTGGTAGTTTGACGCGGATTCGAATTGAGATGAAAGAGCCAATGGCATGGAAGCTTCGTGATCTTTCCTTATATAAAGTGACTAAAAGCTAATTTTCCTTAGAAAGTCTTCCACGAAAGTGTCTTTTTCCTTTTGCGCTTTGCCGTAATCGACTACCGGAAATATAAATTTTATGATCTATTTTTTATTTCTACAGCTTTTATTTTGCTTAAAAAATACAGCAGTGTAAATACACTTTAACAGCATTCATTTTTATTTGTATAAAAGTGTGCTATTGAAGACTGTATATAAATTTTAAAGCAAATATTTTTTTTTTTTTTTCATTTATAAAGTTCTGTTAAAAAATTACAGTTGGTAGTAACTTCTACTTATCTGGGCAGTTCAATGAATGTCGAAAAAATGAGCATAGTAACCAAAAAAAATTTCGATTTTAAGACTAGAAATTATAACATAGCTTTAATTACAGTTCGTTAAAATTTTCTTAGGAAGAAAAACAGTTTTGTTTTGAATATGGATGTTTGATAACATAATTTAATTTCTATTATATTTTCATTTTCCTATTTAGTTCAGTATTTTTTTAGGGAGGATACTTCTAACAAATAATTGTTTTACATCCAGAGTAAGTTATTGCTCTGTCAAAGAAGTGAATGTTGGTTTAATTCGAAATTTTATAAAATGAAGAATTTTTCTTTTGGTGTGTGTATGACAAAAAAATATTCACCTTCGATTTTCGCTAAAGATATTAATGTGATCATTTAACCTCTGTTAAATAAAATTAGTGAATATTTCTGGAAGGCAACGATGAATAGTAATAAACCACTGACATACATGTCATAAGTCAGTGGCTTAAAACTGAATTTGCATGTGGGCTGAATGCACGTCCTGGAAACTGCTAATAGACCAGAATTTTTTTTTTCCAAGGTAAACATTTTATTAACAGAATGAAAATATTTTTACTTGATTCTAAATTTGACTTACTTGATATTTATGAAAGCATGCATAAACAGCAACAATAATAATTCAAAGAAAAAATTTAAATTTATATTTATTTTCTAACTGAACTCTAATGTTTGATACCATAAGACGTTTTTGGTCACACTTTGTACTTCAAATGCATTGATAGCTAAATATTAATATTTCAGACTGATATTTGTTTCAAATAATCTGTTTAATTAATGGTTAAATAACGTTAATTTAAATTAAAAATAAACAAATTATGAAAGCTGTTAATTCTGTTAAACTGTTAAAATTTTTAACAATTTTTGAACATAATGCCTTTATTTGGGAGTATATTTAAATGTAAACAGCATTCTTCCACAGAACCCGACTGATCGATGAGCATTTACAATTCGTGAAGATAATAAATTAAGTCACCTTTTACAGAGCACGTATATTATACAAAAAAAACTTCTGAATTCACATAAAAAGTACATAAATACATAATTATTTATATGCATTGAAATTTAAGTGTCGAAGAAAAGTTCAATATGTAAGAGACTAGGTTACCATTATTTATTCTCAAGTTTTGTCCCTCTTGGAAAGTTTTCACTGAAAACTTAGGCAGTTTTCCTGTGTCTCGATCTGTATCTTTAAATATTTGAATAAAATGTAAATTAATTAGCTCAATTTATATGTTTTCTGGTAGATTATTCATCTTCAGTTTTCATAGTAAAGAAAATAATGTAAACTCAGACTTCAAATAATTAAAATCTTGAAATATTAGTTTACAACAAATACATAATTGAAGTGTGTTCACAGGCCGCTAGTTTCTGACTATTGCCATAATTATTTATGCAACTTAATAATAGCAAATGTTTTGTATAAACTGAAGTTTTTAGGAGATATAGGCATTTTAGCAATCTTCTCACATAATATTCTCGAAGATAAAAAATTTAATGTATTGTTAATGAATTTGATACATTATCAAAAAATAAGTGAACGTTTTATTTTGCAAAAACTTAAAGATTTGATGTGAGTTAGTTGAAGATTTTACCTGAATATCTTATCAGAATTTTGCTTAATTATGTAAACTTAAATGTTAAAAATATTTGCAATACTAAGAATTTTTTTTCATTTTCAGATGAAAGTGTTTAAGAGAGGAAATATCTAAAGTTGGGTTTTTCTGCTATATGAGATCTTTTTCCAAAATAGAATATTAAAAGAATGCTTCATTAAAGTTTGAAAAGTAAAGAAATATTTAAAAAAAATTAAGCGTTTATTTTTAGTATTTGCAATACCAAGCTGCAAGTAATAAAGTCATTTAAAAAAGTGAACTAATGGGAAAACAAGAAGTTTAATGAAATTGAAAGCAACTTGGACATAATTAAATCTTGCCAAAAAATTTATTCTGTAGATGGAGTCTTGCAGAAAAGTATTTCATAAAAAGAACTTAGGTAAAATGTTTCAAAAAAGAATTTTATGATGAAAAAAATTGCTGTTTCGTATAATTCTTCAAAAACATTTGCGTTTTTTCTTTGATTCGCGAAGGTATCTCCCTGAGGTAATTTTTATATTTCCAGTAATTTTTATGTGACTTTTATTAATAAGTTTGATTTTTAGATATTCGTTTCTTTATTGGCATATTTGTTTTGTATATTTCGTATAAAGTATTCTAACTTATTATCAAGACATATTTGAAGTGACTGTTATTTTTTATTGTGTGTTAAAATAAAATATTTTATTAACTTTGTAATTATATTATTAAATAATTTTTTTTACAATATACGTTTTGAATTATTATTTCTCTTTTGCTTTTATGGAAGCTGTAATAATAAATTAACAATCGACTGAATGATGAAGAATTTGTTTCTAGCCTGAGAGATGAATGTTATATTCTTGATGAGAGGAGAAAATATTTGTATAATTTTTTTAATCATTTTGTTAACGTTAAATTTTCCACGAAAGTCTGCAGCATTTTTAATGATGTGCAAATAATGAGAAAGCAATTTAAGTTTTTTTTTTTGATAGATTGTATCTGGAGTTCTTACGTATGAAGTATAATGCAAGAAAATATCATAAAACTGACATCAGATATTTAAAAAATACTGTAAAGTTTTATATCTATATTATTAATGTAAAATCTGTCGCTACGAGGAAAAACTGGGGCTACATGACCACCAGATTTTGAATACTCATAGTCATCCATCCGAACATGTGCATTTTGAAGCTCGAATATTGAATTTGGATTTTTTCAAATTCATTGTTTTGTAAGAAATTAATGAAATATTGTTTAAGAAACTCAGCAATTTAAAAGAAATGTGTTGCCATTCTCTGAAGTAAATCATTTTTATCCTTCATGCTTCAGTATGCGCTTTTTTACAATGTGTGTAATATTTAATTTTTCTTCCAAATTTATTCTGTTATTAATCAATAAACTGAATGATATGAAAGCAATAAATACAGCAGGGTTACCATTACAGTGAAAAAATGTCGAAATTTCCGAATGGCAACACCCACACTTTTCCCAGCGCAAATTTATCAGCAGATTGGAAAACCATAAATGGTGTTAAAACACGATACACATGACTAAAATTTCTGACGTAAAAAATTTGCAAAGAAGAGCATTGTAAAATACCGTTGACAACATGGAGAGGAGGTGCATTGATGCACTTTGCATAATCCACAGGGACAGGCAGTAGAAGAAATCCCAACAGGCAGTAGAAGAGAGTAGTAGTCGGTATAAGCAAATTTCTTCAGTCAAAGGTGTTCAAACGTGCTAAAAAGATGACACACTCGAGAAAACAACGAATTGAATTGATAAAGCTGCCAATGATAAAACATGCACATGTGATAAACCGCCATCCGAACGACCATGTGTTTCTGTTGAGGTTGTCGCGGAAATGCTTAATACCATAACTGCAGATCCGTTGCATGTTGCAAGAAGTGTTGCCGCAGTTTTGATGCACCGAAGCTGTCTCCAAGCTTCTGTGGATGTTTCTTGATCGATTCCAGCGCGTCCAGATTTTGCAACAGGAAGGCAAGCAAAAGCGAGTCGACTTCGCGGATTTTTAATTCGTAAGATATAAGGGAGCTAGCAGCTGATCGCTGCGGATATTATGGATAAATGAGACCCATTTCTCCTTGACTGGAAATGTAAACATCAAGAACTGCGTTCACTGGGATGAGAAAATCCTCCCGATGTGGCACCAGCGCCTTTACACGAAGCTAAATTGACTGTGTGGTGCGGCATCCCAAGCATATTCATTCTCGATTCGTACTTCTTCGAAAAGGTCACTTCCACAGGTATGAAAATGTGCTACATCACAAGTCCTGGGTGTGTTGTAAAACTAACGCACATTAATATTGCAGAATGACGTAATTCCAGAATCGCAGAAGCGAAAAATCGTCGTTAATGACATTGTATAGATGCAAGATGGTGCTCCTCCACATGCTGCCACATGGATTCAGCAAGTGCTGCAAGAACTCTTTCGATTTAGTGATGTCTCGTAACTTTGCAGTTTCGTGGCCACCGCAATCCCCCGACCTCACTCTGACGGATTTCTGGTTCTGGTGTTAGCTGAAATCTAAAGTGTACACAACAAGTCCATGAGATTTGTCAGAATTGAAAGGAGCCCTAAAACGTGAAGTTTACTCATTCCTCCTGCGATGTTAGGTTCGTCATTGCTGTACACAATCTCTCGCATGAAGTGCGTTATCGTCTGCGAAGGTGGGCACGTTGAAAACTTTAAATCCAATAACACTTCTATTTTCTCCTCTCCTCTCCTCTCTTGCGTTGTCATTGGCCCTTTTAAATGCTGTTCTTTAGAAATGTTTCACGCTGTGTATTGGTCCAGCACCATTTATGGTATTTCAATGCGCTTAAAAGAGAAGGGCTAGCTCATAGAGCTTTTTCCCCTGAAACAAGCAGCGGGGAGTGATGACGTAGCCATAATGACACTGAACGCGGAGATGCAATTGACAACATAGAAATTAGTGTTTTAAATTTGAAGAATCAGCGTTTAAAATGAACTGTGTGTGAAAGACAGTTATCATTTAGAAGAGACAATGTTACTGTAGTATGCGTTTTACACTGAACATTAAAAAATTTAATTTAACAAATTTTAAAATAACAAATAAAATACGCTACTCTTAACATAAAGTTCCTTTTTTTTAATTTGCAGGGATTGTTTTTTTAAATGCCTGTTTATTTCTAATCATTTCTTTATCTGAGATTTAATTAAAAGAACTCTACTACTGCTTCTAAGATAACTATAATAACAGCTTTTTAAAATTAATCAAAAAGCAACCTTAAATTGGCATAGTTTCTCAAAATTTCTGCTAATCTGAGTTTCAGCCTAATTGTAAATTTTACATTGGTATATTTCCCGATTCAATATAATAACATATATATTTTTTTAATAATTTTGTAACTTAGGCTTACATCAATATTACATTTAAATAAATGCATGTAAGATTGTTATTTTAATTTAGACAAAACAACTTTACTCACAGTACCTAAAAAAAAAATTATTTAATTTTTCAAAAGTGGGGGTTAAGGAGGCAGGTCTTCTTATGTCAATTACTTTAATTTTATATTATTATATTTTATCTAGAATGCTAAGCTAGCACAACATCGAATCAATAATAACACAGGATACAATAAAAATAACTTTAACAATAACTTAACAAAATTAGTTCTCATTTGAAATATGCTTTACGCTATTAACTTCTAAAATGTCATCTATAAATACTTCAAATCAAAACATATTATATATGCTTTCTTGTACAGTCACAATGCAACTACCTCTGCAAAATAAGCGAATTGCTTCTCTGTTAACTTCAGGATAATGTTTCTCCAGTTTATTAATTAAAGAGCCAATTACATGCTTCCCTTTATAGTAACCTGTACCATGAACTGCACAAAATATATTTTCGAACTCGTAAACTGTATTCATCTATGAATGGGAAGGTGTAGTCAAACCTCCAATCTATTAATAAGTCCAATATTTTAATTAAGAATGAATAATTTAATCCATTCTGAATTAAAATATTGGTTCATCAGCACTATTTTTAGATATTGTTCCCAATGATGGGTCTTTGTTTCGCACACGGTAGGCAATATAACCTGCAACATATGTTAATGCTTCTTTTTCGGCGGTCGAAAATTGTCTGGCGGAATTCAATTCTAATTCCCAAGATATAGGAGAAGGTTCCATAGGAAAAAGTGGAAGCCATAAGAAAAAGCGGTTTTCTCAGTAATTTGAAGCAGTGCGCTAAATCTGCAAAAACCCATATTTTTTTTTTCGTTTGCAATACTGTATTTGGAAACTGAGAACTATTAATCGAAATCTGTAACTCTTTCCACAAAGTACTAGATCATCCTAAATCAGACACTATTGCTTTCCCTTCTACTCCAGATGATTGTGTTTGCGTGTGTGATTATGGCAAAGCCTCGAGGGCTATTTGCCTAAGGGATGCCCTCGTGGAGGACTTTCTAAGGGAAACTGGCTCGTATACACGTTACACATGGGGAAAACCACGAAAACGCCCATGCAGCCAGCCCGTTCGCGGGATTTGAACCTCGGACCGAACTACCAGTGTTCAGCGACTTTTCCGCCCGGCCGCTGGTGGGCCCAGATGATTGAATATGTCTTTTTCATTCGAGTGTTAAAATCAAAAAATATTGGTTGTTTCCACTGCGAAATGAGACCTCTGATTAAACCAAACTGCACTTTTTGAAAAAGGACCGAGAATTTGGTCCAGTTTAGAGTCATAGCTAAGTTTAGAATCTATATGCATTTCGTCGAAACCGAGAACGCATATTTTTTCTACAGAGTTTAAATATTCGCATCGTTCCTTCATTACAGGAAGAACATCACTCTGAATTCTTGAACTACATGAAAATTTAGCGCACCATCTCCTTAATATGTTAGTGCTAGGTAAAGGAATTCCTATTTTTTCTTACCAAAAACGTTCCTTATAGATGACAGAGCTCTTATGACAATGCAACGTGAAATATCTTCACTAGTCCACCTGATTTTTTCCTTCTTTTCTAGCAATGCGTTAATCTGCGTCTTTGTAAAAATATGCTTTAGACCGTTTTTCCTAATTCTCCGATCCGTGCTATTTTTTCCTAAATTTCGCTGTTTGGGATTTTAATTTCTAAATTTCCGATACAAATTTCTTTATAGATGTCGTCCACCTTCTTTGTCGCTGAGCAAACATTCTAAAATTTTTCTTTTCTCTATTTTTCAATATTTTATTACAATTTTCTAAGGATATTATTTTGTTCTTCAAATTATCAATACATTCTTGTTTATCTTTACACTTAGGGCATTCAGGGATATTGTCACTTAGGACATTGTCACTTGTGAATTTTATTTCAAAATCATTGACATTTGATTTATTATTGTCAGCTTCAATTTCGTTCTCAGCTTCAAAATAAATTTTCTTTGGTATTAATTCATGTAGTTTTTCAAAACCACTCTGCATTACTTTTCTTTTCAAATGTCTCCGATTTCTTGGTGTTGTTTCGTTTATTGCATACGATAAATTTACTTTCGGCACAGTATTGCATTTCAACAGTTTCTTTTGCGGCAATCCAAGCAAGCGATTTCTTATGTCATCTTCATAATCACTGCACAGAAAATGTTCGCCATAAATTCTTGCGTTTTTCACATTAATAGAATCCTGTCTTCGACATTCATGTAT